AAAAAAACACATTTTTTTTTTTTTTTTTTCAAAATTAAATATGCTTGCTACACCTTGGAGATATTCTGTTAACCTGGAACCCTTGTCAAATTCCAGTTGGCCCATAAAAAGGTGCTGAATTTTCTGAGGAGTGGTCTAAATTTCCAGGCTTTGTGTTGTTGGATAGAGGTAGGGGTTTTAGATTCCCAGCTCCCCTGCACAGCTCTGGTTTATTTATCAGAAGATCCACCCTGAAAGTGTGGACCTTGAAAGAGCTGTGCTCCTGTCTTTGGGAAGGTCCTCAGGACAGGCACACCATTTGGGGATTTTGATTTCACTAGGCTCCATGACCTAGAACAATCAGGCCTAGAAAACTCAAGCATTTGGCAAAGCTTGTCAGGTTCAAAACATTTTTTATAAAACAGTTTGTGTTCCACACATTGACATTTTCTGACAAGTATTCATCAGAACATTCCCACGGAGTTTAATTTCTGAGTAACAGGAGCCAAGCAGCCCTCAACAATAGGATATATTTGGGTCAAAGTATAGCATGCATCTTCAGTGCTACTTTAATATCCTCTCCGCTATTGTTAGTCCAGGCAGCTCACAGCTAGTCAAAGCACAAGAGAAGCTGATATTAAAAACTACTGAGCAATGGCTAAAATGACCAGAGAAGTAGTGGTATATCATGTAATTATCTTGATACATGAGGAGGCTCTGTTATTACCTATTCAACTTATATATTTTGCATATATAGAGAAAGCCACTCTACTGTGACTTTGAATTGATTTAGATGCCTTTGTCTAGTCAGAATTAAATGCAAATTCTATGAGAAAACTAACCTTGAAATTTCCAACAAAAAGGATTCAGATTGTTCAGGCATTCAGAACAGAGCATATAAACAAGGGTGATTCTCTGTTGATTTAATTATAAATGGTGTGGGCAATAACTCAAACAAGTTTCCTTGAAGAACCTAAAATCAGATTTTTAAAATATTTTTCTAGTAGGTAGCTGTAGGTTTTCTTAGGATTTAAGCGTAAGTTCCATATTGTATTATCACCACCATATGGCTTATCTTTGACTCACCCACCTAGACACCACAAACTGTTGCTGACAATGTCTGTAGCTCCTGCTCTGATTCTATGCTAGATTATTTAAAAATAGAGATAGTGATGTTTCAGAATTACCGTCCATAGATGTGATTCTGCTGTGGGAGCACAGCCTGACATAATAGCACAGCTACTTTACTGCATTGCTAGAAGGATAAGATTTTTAACACCTGTTCAGATATGAATGATACATTTACTTCTCATATCTCTACACTGAAAACTCATTTTGCTCTGAAGATAAAAGTAGTTCCTCCTGGCAAATCACCAGACACCCTCATTTGAACCCAGAAACCTGCTGACCTCTCAGAAGAAATCCATTCCTCCCAAACTCAAATCATCTGGTTCCAGATGGAACAGGTTCATGCACTGGAGCAAAATTTTGAAGAAGGTGATTGGACTAAAACTACATACATGCCCTGTTTGCCACTCTTTCAAATTGCTCCTAATATATCAATCTGTTTAGAACGGATATTTAGGGTAGTTGTAGCTCTCCTGCAGGGGGAAAAAATTATTCAAGCTTTTTACGAGAGGTATGTCAGCCTTGTTTAGAGGCTACAGAACAGGGTGGAAAAGGTTTATTTAGTAGCCAGAGAGCAAATCACAAATATGATGGAGGCCAAATGCCAGATGAAAACCAATCTGGCTTCACTCAACTTTTTATACTATGAGTCATATTCTTCATTGTGTCTCCGAATGACTCCAAATCTAGTACGTGGTAGCACTGCATGGTCTGTGGATACACATGAATGTGGAGTTGGGATATAAATAATGCTCAGAGACCAGTTATAGGGAAGGGCATGTAATCCTTAGCTTAGACTAAGGAAAATGTGTTTCTTGAACTTATACTGGAGTATGTTCTGTGTGTAGTAGGCCACACCAAGTCATCTGTAAATAGTATGAAGATGCCTGCTAGGGAGATATTCAGTCTGTAGAAGTAATTAAAAAGTCCAGAAAGCAGAATTTAAGAGGCTACAAGAATGTTTTGTTCTACTAGGGATGTCTTTGCAGAATCAAATGCTTCATGTTGACACTCAAGTTTCCTTTTGACTTTCTACTCTAAGCAGAGGAGGATGGGTGAGGATTTTCTTTAGAAGTCAGAAAGCTTGGCAGCAGATAGGGAAAAAAAAGCATTGGTAAGCTAGATACTGTTAAGTTAAATCATACTGTGTAGATCTTCTGTAAAAAATTAGCCTCAGAAGTTACTGTGCTGCTTAAATGAGGTCTGTAGTAGAAAGAAAAATTATTTGCACTATGAGCAAATTAATTCATTTTCTATTCCGCGGGACATTCCTATAGTGGGAGCAATTCTTCAGCGTCAGTTTAGGCATAGTATTTCACAGAATATGCTGAGTTGGAAGGGACCCACAAGGATCATGGAGTCCAACTCCTGGCCCTGCACAGGACCATCCCCAAGAGTCACGCTATGTACCTGAGAGGATTATCGAAATGCTTTTGAACTCTGTCAGGCTTAGTGCTGTGACCAATTCCCTGGGGAGCCTGTTCCAGTGTCCAACCACCCTCTGGGTGAGGAAACTTTTTCTAATATCCAACCTAAACCTCCTCTGACACAACTTCAGGCCATTCCCTCAGGTCCTGTCTTTAGTCACCACAGAGAAGAGATCAGTGCCTGCCCCTCCTCTTCCCCTCACGAGGAAGATGAAGACTGCAATGAGGTCTCCCCTCAGTCTCCTCTTCTCCAGGCTGAACAGACCAAGTGACCTCAGCAGCTCCTCATACGGCTTTATATGTTTCTGTACACCTCTTCTGAGACAGAGCTGGTAATCCATCCTGTTAAAGGCTTAAATACTTCTTTGATACTAAAACATTTTTCTTTATTCCATAAATATCTCGTGTCACTTATTCTAAACTGAAGTGGGATATACTGCCTAATGTGACAGTAAGCTACAAACTTGGAAGCAATGGGTGATGTCAAAGTGAGCTTTTTTCAAAGCAATTAATGTGACAAAACTTTCTGTAACACATTCCATAGGTCTATAAAAAGATCTGTCAGCATTGCAGATGCCTGTTGTAAGTTTTCCATTTCTACAGTTGGCTTTAACAGCTATAACGGGTAATTTTTTAAATATTCCAGGAACTTTAGCAGTACTGATCCCAGCAGAACAATGAATATGGTACTGTAGTACAAGCACTTCTCCGAGCATTTATCAGCTACCATTTATGTCTTGACCCAAATCCCCAGATGCACTGACTCTGCAGGGGCTGTGCCTTTAAGTTTACCTGAATGGGCATTATAGACAGACTAGGAACTTAGTGTCCTCTTAACCATGGCTTTTCTGAAGAAAACTTGTAGGACCTTCTTTTGAGAGGGTTTCATTAAGTCATTATGTGCAGTGGATGTTGGTTCAAAGTCTAAAAGTACCTCTTTGCCTCCCCCACCCTTTCTAACACCACAAAACCAGGCTAAGTAGCGCAGACAGGCAAAATGACCTCTTTGATGTTTCTTGGTGTGGGTTTTGTCTAGTCAGGAGAACGTACTTATATCTCAGACTTTTTAAAATAAAATCATTCTGGTAATTGTATTTACATGCTAATAAATTCATTGTGCACTTGCTTCATACTAAAGTAGAAGTATAATTTTAATTTGGTCTACCCTTTTAATTTTATCTTAGTATTTGCCAGAGGAATAAATGTGTCAATTCTTCATCAAGCAGAAATGCAACAGAAATAAAATTAAATGACATTTGAATGCACTGTACTTATCTTGTAGGATTCTACATAAAAAAAAAAAGGTGGATTGTATCACTGTCAGATTGCTTTCCTATGTAAGACATGAGGACAAGCTGAATCCAGGTAATATTTGTAAAAGACAAGACAAATGTTATTTCAAATGCATGCTGATATTTATTGAGACCTTGCAGAGTCATCATTAGATTTGATTCAATATAAAGGTCAGTGATAAAAAACAACAGCTACAGCAGCAACTCTTGCACTGTTGCTGTTGCTGCTTTGGAGTTCTTAGCAATGTTACAAAACTTTTATGAAAGCTGCAAAACTGTTGTCAAGGAAGAGAAAAAGATGGAGCACACAAATTGTGACATTGAACCAGAAGAAAAAAAAAAAAGAAATTGGGAACCTTTTAAAAATCAATCTTACACTTCAATCGGGGGGGAAAAAAGGTGTTAACATGTTTCAGTATGTGCTAAGCATGCTAAATAAAAGTAACTTTTACTTGTCAGCTATTAAAGGTTAGTAACTATTTGATTATAAAGGGGAATTTGAAGAGGAATTTACCAGTGACTTCGCATTGCAGATTTGTTAAATCTGAAATACTCCATTTTTCTGATCTATTTGACATACTATGTATACAAAATTTAAGGGTGCATTTTAATGTTATTTATGATATATCGTCTGTTTAGAATGTAAGACAGCAACTCAACTGGTGTTACTCTTTGACAGTCTAGGTATATTTCTGAATTGAAACTCATGAAGTTATTTTTTTTTTTTAAATTCTGTGATCTTGGCCTCTGTAGAAGACTGTATAATTTTGGTGGGTTTTTTGTTTCTTTTTTTTTTTTTTTTAATGACACCAACGTATATTGGAACATGCGTTGGAACGACATAATGGCTGTTAGTGACTTTCACATGAATGAATGTGAACCCAACAGACATGGCGTGTCATTTTATGGCAGTTAATCCAAAATTTATTCTATTTAGGTCACCAAGAGGTGGTAGCCTTCACTTGAGTCCCTCCAGACTTGTTCTCTGATACAGGTTGGCCAGATGTGTACCTGGCATTGATATGGATGTGGTGGGTGGTTGATAAATGTCTGGAGATGGACCCTCAGGACCTCTCAATGCTGTTGCTATTCTGTATGGTTGATTTGATAAAAACTGGAAAAGACAAAATGTGTGACAGTGATTGTTTGTTTGTTATAGTTCTTCTTTCCGTGTAGATTGTATGGAAAATCTAGCGTAAAGAGTTTTAGGCAGGATTTTTGTAGGTTAGTTTTCTAAAACTTAGATATCCAGTTTAAACCAATCATTTGGGCTTTCATCATTCATTATGAGAGAAAATATCTGCACAGACTCTACATTGAATCCTGAGAGGCTTCAGGATATAAGAACTGAATAGCTGGTTAAATATGCCCACCTCTCCCCGCAGAAAGTGGAGGAAACCGAGGTAACTAGTTTAGATTAGATCTGAAATTGAAGAATTAAAGTGAGATGTCCTGAATCCTTGTGCCTCTAAAATCTATCTGAAAGCAGGCATTAATTTTCCTATTTCTTCTAAGGTCTTGCGGAAATGTGTGTGAATGAAAAAAACGTAAAATATTCCTGCTGATTTTTATTGCCTCCTATTTGTATTAGGAAAGATGGTGAGAAAAAACACATCCCAATTTTGTTTGGACATTTGGCACCTTTGAAAAGATGATGTTTGGTTATTTCATGGAGATTCTATAAAATTTATAGCTAAATGGAGTTTCTAAAAAATTATTAAGTCTGAGGAGTATCTGAGGTAGGACTACATACTGGAAGATTTTGATTCATTATATTTTGCTTTGTGAAACATGCAACAGTTTTGATTTTAGATTTTCTGACCTGTGAGGATGAATAGTGATAGAAACCAGACTGAGATATGATGCGCTGTTTGTGATTTAATCTCCCATATGACTTTTGAAAGCAGATCAGTAATTTTCATTAGTAGAATTCTGGAAAAACATGTTAGAGAGTGGTTTCTCTGTTGGTCATATCAGTTCTTGATGTATGAAGAATTCCTTTGGTAGCTGAAACAGAAACATCACGGATGAAGCAATGGAAGGGCAGAGGAGCTGGCACAAATAATCCAGATGCAGTGGCTGTAAGAATAACGCAGCTGTGTGAATATGCTGCCAGTGTCTTACTAGATCACAGCACTCTTCCCCTGTTTCTGTGACTCCCAGTGACACTGTGCTATTGCACATTACCGGCTTTCATGCCATTGTGGAGGTCCTTGGAAAGGTGATTTAAAACACAGGAGGCAGTTGCCAGTTTTTAAACTGCTTCCCCATTCCCCAATTTTAACACTAGCAGTTTTGAGAAAAGTAGATGTATTTTATCTGCAATGGTGATGCTTCTTGCAGTTTTCTTGTTTCTAGGAATAAGATCTGGAGTATATGTTTGTACCAAGAAACTCTGAAGAATGTTTATGATGGTCTTAGTATTATTTGTGCACTTCAGAGGCTTCTTATTCTGACTGGAGACAACATATGCATGTCTTGGGTTATTCAAATAAATGAATGTCTGGGCTGGAATAATCTGTGCAGCAATGAAAAAGAGAAGGTTAAAAGCTAAATGAGATCATTCAGAAGATTTACAATCAGCTGTGAAAGATGTTTCCCTGCACTAAAGCTAATCAAGACAATGAATTTTCATGTTTATCTTGTACCACAGAGGAAATTGAATCAGACATCTCCTGGGGATTCCTTTATTATTTGGCATTCACATGCTGGCACCCACACTTCTTCAGCTGCTGGCAATGAGAGAACTTCCATGCACATACGGTAACTCAGCTTCTCACAAGAAAGTGAAGAAACAACATTTCTCAACAATCCCAAACATATGTTATCTAATGAAAAGAGATCCAGCACTTAGATAAGGAATGTGTTCATTCCCTAGCTGTTGGGTGGTCCAATTTTGTAAGCTGCACGGGACAGATACGTAAGCTGCACAGGACAGGATCTCTTGTGGGCTGTGTTTTGTTCTCACTGCTGGGAGTGAGGGAATGGCTGTTGCCTGACAAGCAGCTGGTTTGTGCTGCTGGGCTGTGGATGGAAAATGCTTGTGACTAGAGGCAAGAGGCAAAGGCTTCCCATTTGCAACAGCAGCTGCACTGGTCCCTGTGGCAAAGCATGGCTGGTGCAAAAACAGGAAGTGGCATTTTTGAACATGCTCCTTCCCTTCTACTTTGGGTAAGAGGAAGCAAGCCAGGACTGCCAGTTAGATCAAGCTGCACAAAGATTGTGTATTTGTAAATTAAGGAGAACTAAAACTTAGCCAGCAGCATTATTTTTTTTTTTTAAATGCAAGCCTGCTATTCTCTTGCTGGTTTGGATGGGGGGGGGCTTTTTTTTTGTTGTTTGTTTGTTTGTTTGTTTTGTTTTGTTGGTTTTTTTTTTTTTTTTTTTTTTTTTTGAGAGGGGCACAAAATAAAAAGTGCCCCCTTTAGTGCCTTGGGTAAAGAGAGAGACTACAAAATAATAATTCAGTTAAAACCATAAGGTACATATTCAGCTAGAGTTAAAGCTGGCTCAGGTCATCTGTTTTAGGAGATTAGTCTTGCTTGAGATTACCTTGCCCTGGTGCTAGCACATCGTGTTTTGGTAGCTAAGACTTATTCAGTCAATTCCTTTCTGGTATTTCAAGATTCATAAATTGTAAGCCAATCTTTGACTTTTCAGAATCTGTGCAAGGTTTAAACCAGTAAAAGAATATTATTCGCCAATTCCTGGCAAATGCATATGTCACAGAATAACTGTCCTGTTTTTATTAGATTCAAGGGATATAATCAAGACTTTCTTTTTTTTTCTGCAAAAAGAATGTAAGACAGTATTTGATTTAAGAAAATGTGTTCCAGATTGCTTAGAACTACGGTTTTCGTGGATCATTTAAGAACAGCTAAAAAAACCCACGAACAGCTAAAAAAACCCACGAGCTGCTACTTTATAAAAGATAGTTACTCAATACAAGCATTTTTTTTTTAAAGCAATGCCATTAGCTTTCTCTAAGTGAAAATGGAAAGCAGGCAGGGTTTCATTAGAATGAGCAAAGTTATTGACATTCCAGCTCTTTCTAAGCTGTGAAAACCAATTAAAGTTGCTATGGACTCATGGCATATAATGAAAAATAGTCAGCCCTCCCTGCTACCCCATGGAGCAGGTGTTCCCCAACCAGCTCTGACGGGGAGATAAGGAGGTCAGGTGGCACCTGCACCTAGAAATAAGGAGAGGAAAACCAGGACAGTATCCATATGGCTTCCTGGGGTTTGACCTGTGCTCTTTGTCCCTCCTGCAGTAACAAAGGTAATGGGAGGATTGGTTTGCTGACTTTGGTTTTTTATGAAAAGAAATGCAGTGGAATATAAGTTTCTGTCTGCTTGTTCCCTAGACATTGAAGGAGAAAGTGGGTAAGTAGGAGTTTGCTTTTCCAGGAGCTAAGGAAGAAAAAGAGACAGTTCCTAGTAAGGAGTTCTGGGGGTTTTTTTTGAGAAAAACTTTGGGAGATAGAGTTAAAAATAATAGTTAAAAGGATAGGGGAATCTTGAAGGTGTGGGCATATTTGTGATGTTGTAGTATGCTTCAGCATATTTGGATTTTTAATCCTGAACATGAGACATGTCCCATGAATGTTGCTGCCCTTTTATATAAATCAAGAGGGAATTCATGACTCCATGAGGAGAAGCTGAAGAGAAATCTAATTAAGTGTGTAGTGTGAGAAAAGAAGCTGTAGTTTATCTACAATAAAGGAGGTGTGATCTACTGGCTTGCGTTGAGGAATTTTCCATGGAAATAAAAGAGGAAGGAGGAGAGAGAGAAGACTTATAAAAAGCTTTCTTGGTAAAGTTCTTATCATTTTCCACTTGGGATGAGCTCACTCTGTAATGTTCTTCTTCTACAGGAATATATAGAGTGTCTTACAAAGGGAATATGCAAGGGCTAAGGAAGTGTTTTCCTGTGTTGTAGGTTTTATAAAGGGATTGCTGTTAGTAAAAAGTCATCAGCTGCATATCTAATACCTCTGTCACTGTCAGTGCTAGAGGTATTGCTCTAACTCAGAAAATGAGTATTTTTTTTTTTTTACTTACAACAGCTAGA